AACTAGCGTTTTTGATGTTTTTGTTCCTGTCGAATTTCTTCGTAATGGTTTCACAGAATAAAAATTTCTTTTTCACGATTAAAATGTACACGCTAATGTATTTATCGCTGGTGTATTTTGTGTTCAAAGCTGGCAATTTATTTAAACTTGTTTAAGTATCTTGTCTAATTTAATTTAAATATAAACTGGGTTGTACATTTTATATGCGCGCGCGTGTATATATATATTTTTTTCTACATATATATATATTATAGATATATACTATACATATATTCAATTTGTTAAACTATAAGGATTAAAAATATTTTTCGTTCGAGTATCTCACACTTTTAATTTAGTGTAAATTTTTCAATAAAATATACAAGTCTTAGCAAATTAGTATTTAGACGCCTGTTGCAGAATACGATAATTAATGTCAATCTCTAGCTTATCGATTTTTCTTTATTTATTCATGTATTAAATTAAGAGATTTATTTGTAATTACCGTGCTAGATAGAATTATATGTACAGATAAAGGTCATTAAATCACCAACACGCATGCAAGTATTGAAGTTGTATTATTTTCATTATATTACACATATATATATATATATATATTCTTTTAGATATACATTGACAATATTTTATAATTAAATTAAAAGAGAAAGAATTATTAAACTAGAAGTAAACAGTCTTTAAATTACATAAAATTTTTATGTAAGTTTTACGCGCGTGAATATTAAAACATCACCAAATCTGTTGATTTTCATCAACATATTTGAGATGTGTTTTCTGTGTTAACAATTTCTCCACAAAGGTACTTTGATATCTTCGCATAAGTAAAACTTGAACGCTCATTCAACGGTCTCTTTATTCAACTATAAGAAAATGTAATTTAACATCATTAAATTAAGAAAATAATTTCCAATATTGCACAGAATTTTTTGATTTTATTAATTTTCTTTTGATAAAACTAGAAGTAACATGAAAAATTTTCCATAAAAAATAATGCATGTATGTGATGTGTAACCTCAGATTTTTTTTAAAAGTCTTTTCTGTTTTAAGAAAATCTGTTTATGCCAACTTAGACAATAAACTTGAATGTCTATATTGTGAAGTCTCATATTATAATTATATTACCCTTGTGAATCAATTGAACGCTTACAAAGTGATGTTTTCTGTTATTCTGCTGTGTGATTAAGTGAAGAGAACTTTTGGAAGACAAATGTTCTGTATGCTATTAAAATAAAACATGTTGATGACTAAGAAGGAACTTTACAATAAACTTCACAATAAGGCCATTGCTTCACTCAAAATGGACAATCAACTGAAATAATTGTTGCCATAATGTTAAAGTCAGAAAAATTTCTAACATAGACTTAATAAAAGTGTAAGTTAAAATTTTTTCTTTTCAGCGCGCACCGAAGTTTTGAAAGTGTAGATATTAAAAATTTTTTTTTATACATATAATTTATCGAGAAAAATATAATATATTATGAAACTGGCGCAACTGATGCCAGATTTGAGCTAAACTAAAGTAACCGAATTAATTTCCATAGAAAATTCCGCCTGTTGCGAATCGGCGGAATTTAACGTTAAACAGCAACTAGTGGCAAACTTTTCATTCAAACTTCAAGAAAAACAGAACCACGACGAGTAAAAACATTCCGAAGATATGGTAGTAGGCATGTTCAGGTTTTCGTACATGGCCGGGTAGGGAATCTGCGACCGAGTCGTCTGCGTCGTCGGCATCACCGCTGCCATAGAACTGCTGGATCTTGGATTCCAATCCCACTGGATCCGCACCTTGGCAGTGGCCCAATCTTGCACGCTTGCGGTAGAAGATAAAGGTGGGCATCGCGCTGACGTCCTGCATCGAGGCGGTATCCGCGCATTTGTCCACGTCCACCTTCAGAAACACCGCCTTGGGATACTTGAGGGACAGTTGCTCGAATATCGGGGCGATTCTCTGACAAGGTCCGCACCTGCACAGTTTGAAAACCAGGCGAGATACATTAATTAGTGTGAATCACGATTCTTGTAATACAAACATACTATCCAGTACAACATAATAAATCCCTACAACCTTATTGTTTGGTATTGTTAAATAAAGATGAAAGGATCACTGTGTTACTTGGTGTTACTTTGTGTTTCTTAGAAAGTTTCATAAGAGATACGAAATTATAATGTATTAATACACTTCTCTAGAATCAAGGTTGGTAAAATCATGTTTTTTTGCACATGTTTTAAAGTATATATATATATATATATATACTCTCTAGATTTGAAGTAGATGAAAAAAAAATATTGTAAAGAATATAAGGATCTGACAAATCATACTTTTTGACACATCTAGTCTTTTTCTTGAGAAGCAAAATTTTGATTTTTATAATTTTCGTCTGATTCAAAAAATTATAATTTCATTAAAAGTTACGAACAGTCAAAAAACTGATTCTTTTCAAACTACAATTAAAATTCAAATAGTATTTTAAAATATTATATATAATATAATAAGCTTATTTAGAAAAAAAAAACAAAGTAATTCTACAGTGTGCTCTTCGTTTCCTGTTTCTTGCTGTTTACCTCTTGTATTTTCTCTCTTTGCAACCGTTTTATCGACAATTGTGTTTCTTGCTGTTTCCTGTTTCTTCCGAAATTCGTTAATTTTTATCTCAGGCGACATAGAACAAAAAATCAGATAAACAAAAAGACAAGATGTAAAAAATAATAAAGCAAGAAACAGGAAACAAAAAACATAGAACAGATGGTTTGTATTCAATGATAAAGAGAAAAAAAACAAAAACATAGGTAAATAATTTATCTCATGATTTTGCGGCTATACTTTTTTAAGAACAAAAAAGGAGTGTAAAAGACTCTTTTATTATCGCATTTTCTGAAATTGACAAACTTTTCATTAACAGAAGATTAAATTCTTACTTTCGACAATTCGCATTCTAATTTTGACGACGAATTTTTCATCGAGGTTGGATGAGAAAATACTAGTTGGTTGTATTCGAAGAAATGGACAGATCAATACACAAGTGTGTAATGATCAAGAACATGTGTAGAGATACGTGTTAAAAATTCCAGAACGCTGTAATACAGTCGAATTGACAGACATTAATGGGAGTATAACCTAAAAGATGCTCACCAACTCGCTGTGAAATCTACGACGACGAGTTTTTGCCCGGCATTTGTCAACTCGCCGTTGAAATGACGATCGTCGTTAATTATTCGTACCGCTCCCATTATTTTGATTAACTGTGTAGTTCAATTAAATTCACCACACTGACCCGCCCACCCACTACGATCCACTGTACGAAACTAATCAAATCAAGATATCAAAATTCCTCAATTCAAGAATGACTGGCAGTTTACATGTACACAGACGGGCATTAATGGCTGACAGGTTGCATTTAATAGGAAAGTCTAAAAAAAGTGTTTGGATTTAAAGCTCAGAACATAGCCCTTTGCATAAAGCGGTGTTTACAATGAGATTTTGAGGCGTAAAATTTAAGCCTAAATCTCAAGCCGTTAGAAATTGACCAATCACAATCGAATGTGAGCAAAACAATCAACCATGATTGGTCAATTTCTTAAGGCTTAAGCTTAAATTTTATGCCTTAAAATTTTATTGTAAACGTTGCTTTAGAGCTTAAAGCTTAAGGCCGGAATCAAACTAGGCATTGAAGATTGGATCTACAATCCGGATCCGAAACTGCCTTGTCCTGATTGGCTGAATTCCGATTCGCGATCCGCAATCCGTAGTGTGATACGGGCATAATGCTTTCCAAAACACTATAATCAAATATTTTTTCATTAGGAATTTTTTGTGTTATAAGACTTGAAAGTTACAGTACTGCCGGCATTAGCATTACGCAATGTGTCCGACCGATGGTTAAAACCTCTTGATTGTTGTTTAAAGGGATGCTGTATGTAAAGAGCCGCCTGTATTACCGATAAAACTAGCGTTTTTGATGTTTTTGTTCCTGTCGAATTTCTTCGTAATGGTTTCACAGAATAAAAATTTCTTTTTCACGATTAAAATGTACACGCTAATGTATTTATCGCTGGTGTATTTTGTGTTCAAAGCTGGCAATTTATTTAAACTTGTTTAAGTATCTTGTCTAATTTAATTTAAATATAAACTGGGTTGTACATTTTATATGCGCGCGCGTGTATATATATATTTTTTTCTACATATATATATATTATAGATATATACTATACATATATTCAATTTGTTAAACTATAAGGATTAAAAATATTTTTCGTTCGAGTATCTCACACTTTTAATTTAGTGTAAATTTTTCAATAAAATATACAAGTCTTAGCAAATTAGTATTTAGACGCCTGTTGCAGAATACGATAATTAATGTCAATCTCTAGCTTATCGATTTTTCTTTATTTATTCATGTATTAAATTAAGAGATTTATTTGTAATTACCGTGCTAGATAGAATTATATGTACAGATAAAGGTCATTAAATCACCAACACGCATGCAAGTATTGAAGTTGTATTATTTTCATTATACACATATATATATATATATTCTTTCAGATATATATTGACAACATTTTATAATTAAATTAAAAGAGAAAGAATTATTAAACTAGAAGTACACAGTCTTTAAGTTACATAAAATTTTTATGTAAGTTTTAC